GTGACTTGGCATTGGCTGCCTCCTCCTCCAATGACTTCCCTGCTTACTGGAAGATTGTCATCCTTGTATCAGGGGACTTCCAGAACTGACAATGTTTGAATGATTTTTCAAATTCACTGTATATTTGAAACATCCATAAAACTCCTAGATACTACAGCTGTTTTTTCCTGTGTCAAATGCCCCTTTTGGAGAATACATTCTATTACTGGCAGGAGTAGCTCAGTTTTGTGGCTATTAATCTCAGGGTTTCCCTTTTCTCTCCTCACTTAAAATATAAATAATCTAGCTTTTCCCCATCTAAATGCCCAGTACCTAGTGCTGTTAATCTTCACAGGAACTGAAGTGTCACAAGAGTGAACAGAAAGACAGCCACTTAAAATTTGCCTTTGTGAGCAACAGGTCTCAAGGAATAGTTCACAGAGATCTTTGCTCTTTGGTTAAAATGGTCTTTTGTTTTACAGTGGGTTAGCATTTGGGCCACTATTAAGATTCAAAACAGGTTTGAATATTTCTATATCAAGAATGTATGGACTTGTTATAATTAGCTATAAATCTTTTTGGCAGGTATATTAAATCCTGTGCGTCTGGTTCTAAGTCATTCGCTACCTATTAGGTTTCATTCTGGTTTATTTATATGGAGCAGATTACTCCCAATCTAGTTTTCGCAGGATTCTTATACCATCTTCTGAAATACTCGATACAGGACAATGTCAGGCACGATACTACATCAGAGAGATTTTGATTCTGACCTAGTACAACAATTCTTACATTCCTGTATAAGGAACAATTACCAGATTACACTTTGATGTCACACTGATGTTCTTACCAGAAGAGTCACAACTCATCTACTTAATAGTTCTGCCTGCCCAAATCTAAGCCTATGTGAATGCCAAATTTCAGTAAAATTACTAGCAGGAGTTTTGTTTTTTTAAAGTAAACATGGAGCGCTAAAGTTTCAAGGGCATCATTTAGTACAGGGGCGGGCAACTATTTTGGACAGAGGGCCGCTTACTGAGTTTCAGCAAACCATTGAGGGCCGCATGACAGGCAGCCCAGGGCAGATTAATATTAATTATCTAAATTTTTTAGGGGCCTTGCAGGCCAGATAGAATGGCTTGGCAGGCCGCATCCGGCCCCCGGGTCACATTTTGCCCACCCCTGTATTATCCTGTATTTTAATGATCTTAAATCATTGGCAGATAATTTTAATCTGAATTTGTAGATACATTTAATTTTAATCATTTGCAGGTAATTAAAATGCAGATAAAATCTTAAATGTGTGATTTACTATGACCACAGATCTTTGGTTGCTACTTGTCCACCATAAACTGGAGCTCATCCAGGTTTCCATTCCTAGTTATGCCACTGGTATTTAGTTCCAGTAGTGAAAAATACACCTCCACCTAGCATACTGTTGCTTAAGAACAAAGGTCTTGATTCTGCAAAGATTTAGCTTTTGTCTACATGACAGAGTTCTGCTGGCAGAGCTAGGTTGGCTGGAGAGGGTGGTCTGAAAAAATAAAAATCATATTTTATAACCAGTGTAATTCGAGTGATAAAACTACTGATGTGGACAAAGCTGTCAGCCAGAGGTGGCTATTGTTAGCTATGGTTCTCATTTAGGGGAGCTGGCATAGCTCTGAAATTACCCATCTTCTGGCAGAGCAGCATTCACACTAGATGCATTAAGCTGTTGCTGTAGTTCAAGTGGCAGCCACACCCTAGTATGGACCTAGCTGTAAGCATGGATGTAACCTTATTGACTCCACTAGGACTAGACACAGGCCTGCAATGCAGCAGGGTCACACCTGGCCCACTACTCTAAAAGGGTGAGCACCACTGGTCTATAATATAGAAAGAGTACTATAGAATCCAGACTAAATTTAACCTAAACCTCATTCATAATTATCTGATACCATGAGGAAATTTACTTTAAAAACTTCATCCTTCCATTTTTTTAACACTTACAAATATAAAAAAAACAGAATGTGAATGCCTTATTTACATTGGTGAGCAGTTACTCCCATTGACATCAAGTAGAGCTGTAACTAACTACTTAAATTAGGTTGGGCTGGGGTTCACAGTCCGGTGCAGTATCATTAAAAGAAGTATTTGATCATTCATTATTTCACTGGATTAATCTTTCAACTCCAGACTGGATTTAAAACTTGGCTTTGGTCTGATGTGGAAATGTGGTGCTTGGTTAGTGGACATTTGTTCACAATATAAATGTATTATAGTTTGACACCTCTGTACAAGTGGCAGTCTTTGCCACAAAAAAAAAACAACTAGAGAAAAACAACTCCCAGGCACTGGAAAGCCACAGGAGGTGTGAACTAGAAGTATTATACATTTGTTAAGAATTGTGTGGTGTAACTTATGCAGTACATCCCTGCCTGACTGGGTCTGGATAATTCCATTAATTGTTTTAGTGAGAAACAAAGATAAGCAAGTGCTTTATGGGTTAGTGTTTACATTTTTAGCTTTACCTTTTTTTAAATTTGTTCTCTAAGAAGGTTTGCTGTGGCCAAATTCCTGAAAACTTTAATTTGGTTTTTTAATTGACATATTCACACTGGATGTATTTTATTTCTTTAAATTGGCAGGTCCATTTATAAGATTGGAAATAACTGTGATAAAGTCATCTGTCTGGATATGGAGGTCTTTTGAGAGAGGATATTCAGCCTTGGTAAATGGATTTGCGGATTTGCATGGGGTAAATGCAGAGCCAAAAATAAACTTCTGAAATTGAATCTCAGCACAAGAATGATGGCTCCTCAGCTGTATATACATGCTTTCAATATCTCTGCAGTAGAGAATAGGCGATTATGTATAAATGGAACACCATGGATTTGGCATCTCCTGGAAGAATGTGTTGAGAATGCGTGGGAGTACTGGAGCGTTGTCATAGGACTGATTTCCATTGTCTGTTTTCTGTTTGCTGCACTGCCGTAAGTTTAAAGTCTTAAGTCTTGAGATTCACATGGGTAATCTTGCTCAAAGCCTTTTTTCAAAAGCTGCCTTTTTTTAGTTTATCTTGGATACTTTTCTATATCTGCATAATACAGATAGAATAAGGCAAAGAAGCATGTTCACATATAGAACTATATTTGGTGGTAGACAAATGAGGCTGATATACTGTTCTGTTGCACTGACGTGACGCTAATCTCTACCACTTAGCATCAGTGAGAATAAATCACCTCTTCCCTTTTATCTCCCCCACTCTTAAAATGTGTGCACGTGCACACTCACACACATGCACACACACAACCCATAGAGGAAACTAGATTAGTACTTATTTAAACCACATGTTATGTCACAGATATTATCCTGCTCTTCCCAGCTGGTGAACATGGGGTCAGAAGAAGTGCATCATTCAGTACTTCTGCAGTGCCAGATTGGTTTCTGTGTAGGGCACTTACGCTGGGTTAACATTTCAAGCAGAGAGGATGGCAGAAATAGAAAAGGAAATATTCCCTGCATGTGAAACTGTGTCAAGTAACTGGGATTGACTCCAAGATCTATCCACACAGGCAGTGTAATTTACTGAATTAGTTAAAGGGTTCTGGAAACCATGCAGGGTAAAACCTGTGGTAGTAAGCCTTTGAACTTCTGAAGTATTTGAAAATGTACATTAAAACTGTCAAGTTAAGGAGTATTGGATTCATCAGGACATGCCTAATAGTACCTAATAATCACATTTAGGATTACTTCATAGAGTATGTTGTGAACTTGAACCTATACTCTCACAGTTTGGAGCACATCTGCATGGCAGAACAGTGTACTGTGCAGAGATACTTGGGTAGTAGAAGTATAGCAGCATTTAGCAGGGCACATTAACTCAAACAGAGCACCACTCTAACATGGCTATCCTGATTCCAATACCTGAGCTAGTTCAGGTATCTCCACATAGCACTACCTGTGATCATGTTGATACACAAGAAAAACTTGAAGATTCTATTCTAGAAACTACTTCAGCCATTTTATGCTAAATATGAATGACCTTTCTAGTTTCAATATGCTTAAGATTGGCAACTACAGCACTACATAACATACTTATGGGTTGGTTCTGCTGTCCGCTGAGTTGTGTTTTACTGCGGGTCATGAAAATACAACACGTGAAAGCAGTGGTTGACATTTTTGTTTCTGGGTTAACAGGAAATTAAACTAGTATTTCCAGGTAGGGTGGGAGGAGAGTCCATCTAGGAGTCTTGGTATGGGAAATTACTTTTAATCTTTATTTTAGATTAAACAGGGTGTTACTCTTTCTTTTTTTTTTCTAGTCAACTTTATGTTGCCTATCAAAATGGAAAAGTGGACCAAGCACTGTCTTTGGGCTTTTTGCTATGTTGGATAGGTGGAGACCTTACAAATTTCATAGGCTGCTATTTAACAAATCAACTTTCCATCCAGGTAATTAATCATCTTTAGTATTTTATTATTTATGATTTTAAATATGTGTCTTTTTAAGCTGACGGATAACTTGTAGGCTAACTAAATGCATTAGACACTGCAGAAAGAAGCAGATTGTAGAAAAGGAAATTACTGTGAAGTTTTTGTCTTTATCCACTATGGCATCTTGTGGCTTTCTTTGCAGATGGGAAGATGCTGCAAGCGATAATATATTTCCAACTAGCTCCTTTTATATGGTTACATGTATAATATAAACAGACTAAATTGGCTTTATTTGATAATGAGTTCAGTGGCAATTTTTCAGTTTATTTTGTAAGTAAGCTTCCCTAATAAATAGGGTTGGGAGTAAGTAAAGTCAGTTATGTTTGGGTGCTATAACAGATTAAGTTGCTTGGGGTGACCTCTTTTTAAACTAGAAATTCTAGCTCCTTTTCCTTGATCAGTTTGGAAAGGAAATACATCAAAAGTGTGTGTATACCTGAGTAACTTGAAAAAAATATGTGTGAGACAATAATAAGGTTTCATTGAAAAAAAAGACCTATCAGAATCAGATAGTTTAATTGGATCAACAATGTTCTCTTCCTGCTATTCATCCAGCAAATTCCTGTTTTGGTCTGCAATACCCATTCAGTTCCTTAAGCTTTGAAAAAGCATGAAAGAAACCCTGTACCCTCTCAGAACCTGGGGAGGCGTCAATCTTGGAGATGCAGATAGGGCAGACAAAGAATCCTCCAAAAAAGTAGTTTTAGTGACCAGCCCTGATAGACTTTGTGCCAGGGTCTCAGTATCTGCTTAAACCTTCACAGTTGTAAAGTCAAGTCAGACTACATAGTAGAAGTTGCATGAGGCCCACGGACCAGGAATTGGTCCTACCATAAGTGTATGAATCTGAAGCTACCTAGCTTACTTTGAATCTTTTTGCGGCAGTTTGGTATACATCGGAGAATGTGCATGTGAATCATTTCCAAAAACACTCTGGCCTTTTTATTTGACATGTAAAGAAGATGTGTTGTGTTCTCTTTTAGATTGTCACTGCCATCTTTTATGTCAACATGGACATAATTATGCTCTCACAATTTGTCTACTATAAACTGAAGAATCAGAAGATGACAAAATGTAAGATATTAAAAAATCAATTAATTTACCATTTTCTGGAGTACTTTAATATTCTTAGGTGGGAATTCTCAGAGGAGCAGAAAAGATTAGATCACCCAGCTCCCAGGTAAAATTGGAGGAAGTTGGGAGCATTATCTTTTAAGGACCCCATGAAAATCTCATTCCTACTTTTGTACCTGACTTATAGTTTGTGCAGAGTAACTTATACCTGCCAATAAATTTAGCCTGCCTTGTTCAGAATTTGTTACATCTGACATTCTGGCAAATACCCTAATAACTGGAGTATTTTCCACTTTACAGAATTATTAAAAGCTGCCTCAAATTCCCATTTATAAAATAGCAGGGGTAATATTTCCTTTTTCTTTTCTCTTTTGGCTGCCAACTTGTAGGGTAAAGACTGTCTTAGTGCATATAGTGCACCTAGTACACCTACAGCACCTACCTAGTACAATGGCACACTGGTATAAATTGGAGCTTCTAGGAATTATTATACTAGAAATAAAACTAGTAGCATAGCTCCTTTGTTTTATAAGACTTTTTTAAATTTAAAAGTTCCCTTGTAGCCCCACTGTAACAAGTCCACGTAAGTATGTGCTTAGTTTCAGGCATGCTAGTAGGCCCCTTGACCTCAGGGGCAACACTCATATACTTGGTTAACCATGTACCTAAGTGCTTTGCTAGACAGGAGCCTATGTTAACAACAATGCCTTGGAGACAGTTATGTAATCTACATTCCAAATATCTTTGCATTTGTGGTGTTAAGTGGTATAAGATCCGTTGAGAGAAAGTGTATTCTGGTCTATTAGGCCAGGAACAGAAATTACACATAAACTGGTATAAGTGATCAGAAACTGGCTCAGATCTGTAACACAACCAAAGTGCAGTGCATTTAAACCATTTTAGACCATTTCAAAATGGCTAAAACTGGTTTAAGATAAACCTGGATGGATGCGGTATCAGACTTAACCTTGTTTAGGTTAAATCAGTTTACTGAACTTTTGCCCCAGATCCCCTACAGATTCAAGTTAACTCACAGTCCCCCAGCATCCCATGTTGCTTTGCACCTCCCCTTCTAGTACCCCATCTCAGAGTGGATGGGCTAGCTTTTGCTCCAGCAGAGCATAGAGGCATGTTCTACTGCCCCCCAGCTTCTGGCCTGAGTCACAGCAGGCATGTGGCTGCATTTCTGGAATCTGTGGGCGCTAGGCCTGTGCAAAGCCGCTAGTATTCACTTCAGATTCAGATTCGGCCAATTCGGCGGACAGCGATTCGATTCGGTTATTTGAATCACTGTCCCGAATTGATTTGGGGATTCGGCTGCTGCTGAATCAGCCGAATCTCCGAATCACATGGGCCCCATCCCCCGCTCCCTCTCCCAGCCCTGGCAATGGCTGCCCTGCCCAACCCTAGCTCCTGGACTTCGGAAAAAAAGCCCCCACTCACCAGCTTCTGCTGGGCAATCCCTGCAGCCCCCCACTGCCCCACGGTGCGTGGGGGGGGCTCTGCACAAGCCCCCAACTAAAAAACAGACAAAGTAAGCTTAGCCTCACTGGCTCCTGCCCAGTGAGGGGCGTTGCCCACTGCCCCACACTGCTCCATTCTGAGTGGGGGGGCTCTGCACAAGCCCTCAGAAGCCCCGAGGCCACTGCAGGAGCTGGTGAGTCCAGGTTTTTTGGGTTTTTTTCCTTAAAGGGCTGGAGCTGGAGCATGGGGGGGCTGGGAGAGCAGGGGAGTGGGAGTCAGGGGGCTCGTGACAGGCTCCCCATCCAGTGGCTGGTGAGTGGGGGCTTTTTTTTAAAGCACCGGGACATGGGGCCGGGCAGGGCAGCCATGGGGGGAGGCTGAGGGAGCAGGCAGGGGATGGGGCCTGGCGGGGGTCCCCGCCATGGTCCCCTCCTCCAGCCTCCCCTTCCCAGCACCCTGCTTACCAGTTCGGAGTCTGGGTCCAACTCCCTGCTGCAGCGAGCAGGGACTGCCCAAATCACTGAAGCTCTCCGAATCTTCCAAATCGATTCGGAGAGATTCGAATCAATTCGGATCTTTTAATTGATTCCCTGATTCAATTTGGATTCAGAGATTTGGCCACCGAATTGGGCCAAATCTCCTCCAGATCAAATTAGTACCTGAAGCTTCGCACAGCCCTAATGGGCACCTGTACATGAGCACAGAGGCTGCTCTGATGTGCTGTAATTTCAGTGCGTCAGAGCAGACTAGATTAATTGAGTTTGCTGGAGTGTGACAATTGCTACACTTCAGCAGCCTCTGCATCTCATGTATCAGCATCCCCACGCTTAAAAATGGTGGTAGGGGTGCTTGAACTAAAGCTCATTGAACAAGTTTGAGTTCAAGCACCCCGCCACCATTTTTAAGTGCAGGAACACTGATACAGGAGATGTGGTGGCACTTTAATTTGAGCTGCTTTCGGAGCTACTCTAATTAAGCACTGCCCTCCCCTCCATTCCCAGAGCACATGTAAAAGTGTCCAAAAACTCAAGTTTTTTGACTGTCTGTACTTAGCCTTGTACTAGGCAGCTTTTTGCTTATTGTACTAGCTAAATCTAACCCTAATGGTATGTTAGTAGGAATAGCCTGAATGTGATTTTTGTCTTTTATGTCAACACATTTAAATTATAAGTAAATAGTAAATTTACTAAATACTAAATTTACTAATCCAACAATAGAAAGAAGTTGCTTTTCATCTAACATATTATATGTCAATGTAGGCAGCATGCACCTGAAGAATTTCTGTGTGACCTGGGTCTTGATCTGTATAACATTGTGTGCAATTTTACCCAGTCAGCTTCTCCTAAGAAACCAATTTCATAGTATTCTGCTGGAAGCAGGCAAGGTAAGCTCATTTTGTAGGTAAGCCCCTAGTCTCCTCTCCCTTCTTGCTCCTTCTTTTAAAAAAAGCCTCATATTAGGATTGTGGACCCCATGCTAACGAATTTGTATGATAATCCAAAATGCTTTAGTAATGACAAGTTACTAAAGTTATGGACATACTAGCCAATTGCCCATCAAGAATGGTGGAGGGGAGGGTGCTGGGATGGAGTGCTGCCACTGGCCTCGGCTCCCCCACCCTCTGTCCAGTCTTTGGCATGGCTTTGGAATCATGGTGGTGCTCCCTCATGCTTGGAGTACTCTGATTGGAAAACCACTTTTTTCCTGTCTTAAAAAAGGAGACCCTTTTTCTGACCCTGGATTTCTCTCCAGCTTCAGATTTTACTTCACAAAAAATGTGGCCTGAGATACCTCACAGTGCTCCCTATCTTTAGAGTGCATTGCTATATTTAAAGTACTGCCCTTACTGCAGCTAGGGTAGTTGCTTGTTGAGAATAAATGAATGTGAAGTAATAAGTGCAAACTGAATAAGCATGGCTCACTGTTATGCACTATCTTCTGAAGATGTGGGGGATAAATTTGGGGCAACATATTGTCTCCCTGGTTTTCAGAGTTGTGAACTTACAGTTTTTAAGATGCAGTTTTTGTCACGTTCTTGAGATTTTAGGATGCACCACTTCCTAGAGCTAGTAACAATGCCATAAGAATGCCGTTTTATTAATAACATTACAACTTAGGCACTCAACTGAAAACTTAAGGTTTGCTAAGAACCACTACTGAACATATTGGAAAAGGTTGTGTCATGCTCTCTACCCAGAATGCTTAACTTTCCAGTGTATTTAGGTATAAAAACTTTGTTTTGACTTTGGCATCCCCAGGTCTTTCACCATTAAGAATTAATTATTAAAAATGTATTTATCATCACATTTTACGGCATGCATGGACTGGCTTTGAGCTGAAAATTAGATACCATATTTCCTCACATACAACGCTCACCTTTTCCCCCAAAAACAGCTCCTGCAAATCTGGTTGCACATTATATGTGAGAAATATGGCTATGAACAGGTTCGGCTGCTTAGGGGTAAAACCAAAAGTAAAATCTGCAGCAGTCCACAGAGAGCAGAACAATGAGCAGGTTTGGCTCCCTAGCTACTGTTTAGTTACTTACTACAAGGAAAAATCTTTTTTTCTTCAGTCTGCCTTTCACAAACAAAGACTGCATTATATTCTGGTGTATATAGGACCATATATTGTTTTGCTTTGCAAGATGAAAATCAAATCTTTTAGCCCTCCTTGGCCATTTTAACAACAACAGGAAGTATTGTCCAGGCCTTGAGAGGAGTTTACACTGTAAGTCAAAACATTAGAAACGTTCAGAAACATTTTTATCAAAATTTGTGTGCTTTTTCTTGTTTTTCAGGACCCGCTTGGTATGATCAAACTGTCAGGGTTTGTTTGTGGCTATATATCTTGTGTGTTTTATCTGGGATCTAGATTTCCTCAACTGTATAAAAATGTAAGTATATTTTTGACTGAATGCATTTAAATATATTGCTTACTGCTGCTTGAAATGCTGGAATCTCCCTTGCATTGAACATACACACCTGCACCCTATTTGGAATCTGAACTTTACATCTGGGACTATATAACATGGAAAAAGGTTAAAAAGGAAAACTTGTTTTATTCAAAGAGCCAGGAAAATGGAAAGTTTTCAGTCAACCAGGGTAGAGGACAAAGAATAAAAGAGTCAATAGCTGCATTTTTGAGGCTAGGGAAGAAGCATACATTGCACGTGAAAAACAAATGGGCAGTAGATATGTCCATGCTTTCAGTTGTTCTTTACTAAATTAGTAGTATCTAGTGATAAAATTATAACACAGAAACATTATGATGACATTACTGAATTCATAACCTTCCTACTGTCGATATGGGAAAATTCTCTTTGAAAATTTGACATAGGTTGATTAAAGACAGGTACTTCAGTTAGGTACAGAGAGCTTTAACATAAGAAACTCCAGTTTATTTCCAAAATAACAGATGTTCCCACCTCTGCTTCAAGCTGGAATAAATGGCTCCACCTGAGAAAGTGACAGAGTAACAGATTAGTGAAGAAATAAACATTCACTTTTTGTAACATGTTAGCTTCCCTTGCTGCATTGCAGCTGTAAATTATAGAATGCACACCTAAAAGCTATGATGATTTCTAACAATTTTGATGATACAGATGCCAAGATTAGTAAAACCAAAAGCATTAGAAATACGATGAATTGTTTTCCTGGTGAAAAAGAATGAAATGTGCTCCTAGAAATTGTAGTCAAGTATCCTGAAAGTATCCAGAATTCCTTCCTGTTATTTATGCTGCAACTCAGTCTTCTATCAAACATTTTTATATTTTTTTTTAGTTCCAAAGACAATCTACAGAAGGCACATCTTACCTGCTGTTCGCATTAGCCATGATGGGAAACTGGACTTATGGACTAAGCCTTGTTTTAAAAGTGCCTGCTGCAAAATCTCTCAGGAACCTCTATCTTTTACACCATCTTCCCTGGCTCATTGGGAGCTTTGGAGTTCTGTTTCTAGACATTTTTGTATCCTTTTCCGTGTAGAGCAAGAGTTTCTTGAAGGTCTGTGTGGCAGAGCACCTTTGGTGCCTGCCACTTTAAGGGCGAGAGCAGAGAGCAGGGCAGTTGGCAGGTGTGGGCCAGCCTTGATAAGAAGGTCATATGACCGCAGGCTGGGCCATGTGATTGGTGGAGAGAACTCAGCTGCCTCCATTTTAGCTCAGGCATCAGGGCTGAGCCAGCAGTCTGTTGCTGGAGCAACAACACCCAGCTGAGCTGCTACTCATGGAACACCTTGGAGGTAAGGAAGGAACCAGGGGGATGGCAGGAGGGTCCTAGGGGGCCCGGTGAGGTTCTGAGCCCCAGGGAAAGCCTGAGCCCTAGTGAAAACAAAGTCCAGTCTAACAAGAGGGCTAACAGCTGATGGGCCTACAATGGGGCCAGGCAGTCCCCAGGGTAGATCTGGCAGGGGTGAAGCCAGGGGGCTCAGGTGAACCCAGTAGAACTAGGCCTCATGCAGCCTTGCTGGGGGCACTAGATCAGCCAGGGTTGGGATGCTGGCTCTATCATGAGACCTAGAGGGGGACCCCCTTTACAGAATGGAGGGCAGCGGCTGCCGCTCTGACCTTCTGATCCCTCGCCTGGTCAGTGTAGGGCCGAAGGGCAATTGAGGCAGGCCAGGGCTGCGGAGAGCCATCTGGCACCCCGACTGGCCTGAAGGTGGGGGCCAGGACCTAGAAAGGCTGAGGGTCTGGGGTGGGGGGGTGGTAGGGATGGGACGGGACAACACGACATCACAGCTAACAGAGAGTAGAGGTCAGTCTGCAGGCTGGCTGTGATGAAGGAGGCTGCAGTACAGTCTGTGGAAGGGAGGATTCCAAATGGGGGTCACCATTAGAGATGGGCACAAGAGAGTGAGCAGCCCAAGGATTACATCTAGGACCCAGAGAGGGAACTAAACCAGAACTGGTAAGCCTGCTTGGTCCTGGGTAAGACCAAAAACTGCACCCTGCTGGGGAAGGGTGGTCTGGTGGGGCTGTCCATGGCAGGACAGTCCTCCAGAAGTGCCAGACAAGTTATCTCCCCAGTGAAAGGCAGGTGGGGGCGCCTGATAACCCCAGCCCCCACCATCTGGTAGGGCATTAAGACTGGAGGGTAGTGGGGCTAGGCACACCCAGAGTGAGGCACCTGAGCCCATGGGGCTGTAAGAGCCCAAAGATAGTGGGCCAGGCATGCCTAAGGAGAGGCATCTGAGTTCGTGGGGGTGTACGACCCTGAGACTCTACATGGGGCGGAGTATGGGCCCCAGTGAGGGGTGTAGAGTAGTTACCCCAGTGAAGGGGTGGAGTACGTGGGCCTAGTGAACAGCAGAGTGCCCAGTGTGAGCAAAGTTGAGGCCCCAGAGAGGGAGGTGTGTTTTGAAGCCCCATGGAGGGTACAATTAGGCCCAGGTAAGTCCTCGGACACCTAAGGCTGAAAATAGTCCCAAGGCGGAGTGGGCAAGGAATTGGCCCTAATCGGTTGGTGTATGAGAGCGATGAGTTAGCCAGAGAGGGCTCGGGTCAGAGCGCCGCCCAGGCGAGGTGAATTGGCTAGCCGCCGTTCAGATGAGGGCTGCAAGAGGGCTCGAGAGGCTGCGGGCCAGCCAGCCAAGGAGTGCAAGAAGGCAAACCTGATGGCCTATGGGAGCTGCTCAGAGGGGCAGGGCAGATAGTGTGGCCCAGTGTGGGGCAGCGTGTAAGAGGCCCAGTGAGAGTGGGCAGAGTGTGAGAGGCCCGGTGAGACCAGGTGGTATGAATGGAGCTCATTGGGACAGAGAGAAAGGATGAATGTATGAGGCAAAGCAAGGGCCTGAGTTTGGCCTGGCCTCGAACCAGAGTGTAAAGCAACTCAAGGATGCCATCTGTGAGGCATGGGACAGGATAAGGGAAGGTCATAGTTGTGTGCAAACCCCTAGGCATCAAGGTCTTAAAATGGTCAGCCTCGTGCATTTATTACAATTATTATTGTAAGAACAAGGTGTAACAGGCGAGACTGGGCAGCCTGCCTTAGACAAGTGGACGGGCCAGTACTGTGACCAGGCCCTGAGAGTTGCCCCCTGTCACAGTGTGTTATGAATAATTGATAACACAGTTTGAGATATTGAAAATAAATTTCATACCACCTATTTACTTGCACTTTTGAAATTTATAGCAGATTATGTTTTTTGTACAGTTTACTGGTGAACACAAATTCATACTTGAATTTGTATGGAATGTCCAAACTAGATAGCACAGTTGCAATTACTTTTATTAGTAAGTACATGTAGGTTGAGTTTTCAGTTTGATGCATGAACAGTTGCACATGTTCGTGCCCATGTAACTTATGTTTAAAATCTGATGTGCCCACACAAGTCAATTGTTTTCATATGCACATTGCAAATTATAATTTTAAGAACCTGACCCCTTCGTAAAAATATCTGAGGGGCAAGGATTTTTTCCAATATTTTTAATGAACCAACTGCATAGTTGGGAGAACTGTTGGACAAGCTTTTGGGTATCGTGTGCACTTTCTCAGATTACCTGAAACACTCAAGGGCAGGTATACAGTTGGTCCATTAAAAGATATCACAAAACATCCTTATCTATCATACTTCTTGGACCAAATATACTCTACTCCACTTCAACACTCCAAACCCACTAAAAATATCTAAAATCAGATTATTATAAGACTGACCAGCAGTCCAGAGAAAAATTGAAGCTCTACTAAGATTTTTGTGTCAAAGTATATTTTCCAAATATAATGTTTTATAGTTTCATAGACCGTTGCAGCACATGTTCCCTAAATGCATCATCAGGGCACAAGCATGTACCTGAGAATTTGAATGTGTCTTAAAAGGTAGCTATGGTGCTTGAAAAGTTGTTCAAAAGAGCCAATATAACAATACATGTTAGTGTCACAGTGACAGAAATAACTTGGCCATAAGCAACCTTCTCGCTACATTAAGGCATAATAAGCCTGTTAACTATAATTAACCTATTGTAACACATGCACTCAGTCTAGGTCAGTGGTTTTCAACCTTTTTTCATCTGCAGACCCCTAAAAACTTTTAAATGGAGATGCAGACCCCTTTGGAAATTTCAAATGGAGGTGTGAACCCCTTTGAATTGTAAGTGTAAGTATTACATACTTTTAATTGATCATAGTAAATGTTCACAGACCCCTTAGACCTAGTCTGTGGACCCCACCGGTTCCGCAGATCACAGGTTGAAAACCACTGGTCTAGGTACTTGGACTGTACATTTTAAAAAGAACATGGAGAAGTTAAAGAGGATCCAGAGAGAGGTGATGATGATGATGATGATTAAGTGTTTGGAAAGCAAGTCATACGAGGAGAGGCTGAAGGAACTAGGCATGTTCAGTTTGCAGAAAAGCTGCTTAAGAGAGGACATGATTGGTGTCTTCAAATATTTAAAGGGCTGGGAAATATTTAAAGAAGAGGGAAAGCACTTTTTTTCTCTTGCAGCAGAGAGTAAGAGGCAGACCAATGACTTGAAGTTGCAGCAAAGTAGGGTTAGGTTGAATATCAGGAAAAACTTCTTCACAGTTAACAGTGAGGCAGTAGAATATGATTGTCTGTGGAAGTTATGGACTTCATCACTGGAGGTGTTCAAAAGGACAGTCAGGGGATGATCTAGGCGTAGCTATGCCTGTGTTCATCTATGAATATTCCCCATGCTTCTGGGCTTTGCTGGTTGTTCCCTCCCCACACTTTCTGCTACACATGGGTGTTGGCTGCAACCAAGGCTGGAGGATTTTGACTGGGGTCTGCCAGTGTTCCTGCTAAGAGCAAAGCTGGAGGTTCCTGACTAGAAGGTCTTGCCCCTTTGCTCGGGTCAGACTTATCGCCCTGTTTGGAGTTGGGAAGGAATTTTACCCCATGGTCAGACTGGTGTAGACTATGGGGTTTTTTTCATTCATCTGTAGCAGAGAACTGTCTCGGTCGGCCAGAGGCGACTCGAGTTGCATTAGAAATTGGTCGTACGTTAGGGTGGGCTGGTGAATGGAGAGGCAGACACAACTTATCGGTTGCAAAAAACTTTACTCACGCCGCTTGCAATCACGACGCAGGTGGTCCGGTCGTCTGAACAACCACGCGAGTTGTTCCAGCTGGCGGGGCCCAAGCCAGTTAATCCGTCCGCAATTGGAAGCCGGTGGGGAAAGGGGTACGTCGGGGTTGCGCTAGGTGACGGGAAGAAAGATCGATAGGTGATCAGTCTATCGATCAGCAGCCGGAAGTCCGATAACTTCAAAGGCACTC